GTCCCGTCTTATTCGCAGAAAAAAAGTTGAAATTTGTAGACCAGTGTTATACGAAATGAATCGAAATTTATTAACATTGTACAAAATATATACATATGTATGTATATACAATGTAGGTATGTATGATCATCTCCGACAAACAGCAAATAATAAATCTTTACACTCAAATAACTAGTCAAATAAATTAATAAACGACGATTCACCTCACGAGCCAATAACCCAGCAAACAAAATCGCTAAGATAATAAATAATATTATGCCGTATTAGAATATTTTGAACATCTCTGTGGTTTCAAACAAACATACTTATATTCGAGAGCACCGCATTACACAATGTCGATATTGAGGGCTAAGTCTTCTTTATGATAGAGAATGGTATAATTAAATTTTACATTTTAGAAAAATCTTAGAGTTCGAATAATTGTGAGTAGTTAAAAATTAGCCGAAAACTATTTCCAACCGCAATTAGTGTATCACCAATGTCTGCGCTGAAATTATGCCGCAATCAAAAAGTTCAGAAAAACATATTCCCAGGTTTGCATGCATATGCATGTATTTGTGGAGTACATACAGCTAAAGTCAGTAGCAAAAAGTCCGAATCAAGTAATTTCGAAGCTTTTAATAACTTTTGCTTCATACTCGTCGAAACTTGTTTAATTTTTATTTCATTTGTTTTGACAAAAACAGAGGCTTTGGCAAGTAAAAAAACTGGCTAAAATAATTTCAACTTAATTAGAAAATATGTAAGTAAATAATATTGTTTTTATCAAACCATAACTTAGAAAGTAGTGTTAGCTGTAAATACATACATATATATATACAAAAAAAAAAAAACAAATCATCATGGTCCGCTGGTTTTAATTATTCAACGCGAAAACAGCTTCATTTTAGAAACGTTGCTGATAATGCGCAGGAGACAAGCTCTTTTTACGTAAAATAATGCTGAAAATAGTATGTAGTTTTTTTTTTTTATTAATTGAATGAAAATTAGAATAATAATTTTTCTAAACTATAAACTTACAGCAAAAAGCACATTGCCAGTAGAAACAAGTTCGCATTCAGCAAATTGTAAAAGCCGGGAAAACTGATAAGCGTTATGCTGTATATGCTCGTATAGACTGGCGAGGCAATAAATGGCAGAAAGGCCTGTAAAACACCTTGAAAAGAGAAAAACTTTCCTAAAAGAGAAAACAAAACAAAAACGTAAACGCATACAATTTATTAAATCTCAGGAAGACCGCCTTAATATTTCTAGATAAAATCTGTTTTTTTATAAATAGAATTAATTTTTAGATTAGATGATAGAAGAGTTTAAGCTTAAGATGTTTAAAAATGTTTAAAAATTTTATCAACGGAATCAAAACAATGAGGTTTTTTGAGACATTTTCAAATAGGTCTAGCTCACGTAAATCTTAATATTTTGCCGAAATTTTTATTTTTGCAGATCTCTTAAAATATAATAATAATAGTAATAATATATTATCTGGCAAGGCTCCAGGCCCCGATAGAATACCAGCGGAGGCAATCAGGTTAGCAGCGAAAACAAGCCCTGACCTCCTGCTTCCCAATACAATGGAAGAAGGCGAGGCTGTTGCTTATACCCAAGGGCAAAAGGGACCCAAACTCTCCTTCATTATTGTGGCCACTCAGCATGCTAGACACAGCAGGCAAGATGATGGAGAGTATACTCAAAATACACTTGACGTCAGTCATAGAAAACGGGGGAGGCCTTTCAGTAAAGTAGTCGAGGCGGTAAATAGAGCCGAAGAAACCTGCCACCAGGCGCGGCCAATAGTGCTGCTAGTCACACTGGACGTGAAGAACGCTGGAAGCCCTGGAACGGTCATTCAAGGTGCCAACATACTTATTAGATATGATTCGGGGCTACCTCAGAGACCGTTGGCTGTTGTACGAAACAACTCAAAGTCAGAGAAAGAGACGTATATAGCCCGGACCTCTAGAACGCCAGGTATGATAGTCTGTTGCGCACGAAAACGCTGGAGAGCGCCTTTCTTGTCGCTTTCGCGGACGACGTGGCCGCTGTCATAACAGCAAGAAACATCCAGCTAGCACAGCTCAAGCTGAAGCAGGTTAATCGCAGCGTCAGTGATTGGATGAGCGATCACGGTCTGCAATTGGCTACAGCCAAAACAGAGATCGTACTGCTCACCAAGAAGGGATAGGTTTACAAAGTACCTAGGGGTGAAGCTTGAAAACAAACTCACATTTTGGGAACACATTCATGGAGTATGTGAAAAATCCGCGCAGAGCACGGTGGCTCTAAGCCGGCTGATGGCGAATGTCCCGCAACCATGCCGTACGAAACTTTTGATGACAGCGGTCTAGTCGATGCTACTGCACGGGGCAGAAATATGGGCTGACGCATTGAAAGTCAAAAATACCGGATTCAAATCTCTTCGGTCCAGCGCAGAGAGGCACTACGTAATGCTTCCGCATACCGTACAGTGTCCGCGGACACTGCTCACGAGCGAAAAAAGATTTACAGAATTATACCAGGTGCCGAGATAGGCCGAACAGGTGCCGCGGCAAGGGCAAGCGAGCAACTAATCCAGTACTAGCAACAAAACTGGAACGCGAGCACAAAAGGTCAATAGACGGAAGTCGATTTCCACCTTACGTAATTGCTCACCGATCATGGTTACTTCTGAGAATATCTTCATGGGATGGGAAGGGTAGACTCACCGTTCTGTCACTACTGTAGAAACTTCGAAGATAACGGGCACCATACATTCTTCACTTGCGAGCACTTCCTGACTTCGCGCAGAATGTTGTAAGAAAGATACGGAGACATAACTCCGAATAACATAGTCTGGATAGGTAATGATCTCCAGTGAAGTGGGAACCAGTCGCGAGATACGTAAATTTCGTACTCCGCTGCAAACGAGAAATGTCTATTGAGGGGACCCGAATGAAACGTCCCTACAAGAGAGCAACCCTGAGGCTCTGGCAGCGCGCTACTGCATCTGAAGACATGCAAAATCGCGGTGTTAGATGCGGGACTCTTGCGCGGGCGGTGAGAGTTTGGGTTTTATTAGTGAGAGTCCCGTTTTAGAGGAGTCCCGCACTCGGAGAAGGTAGGATAGAGACTAGCGGACCTGCCAGTGCATAAAGCATTTTCCCCTCCTAAGAGAAAAAAAAAAAAAAATATTGGCGCTTACACAATATGTATTTGGCCGAGCTTCTCCTCCGATTTAAAGCGCGTGCCATGATGTTGTCACACAAAGGAGATGGATCTACAGTTTTACGTTGACTCCGAACGGCAATTGTATTTATATTAACAACTGTTTTTCAGGCAGAAATACACTCGGAGGTCTGCAATTGCTTGCCGAGGGCGACCGCTATTAGAAAAAAACTGTTGTCTTCTCTAAACACTGCAACACAGCAGCCTTAAAATATAATAGGTTTTATAATTTAACTTTTTTTGGTGAGGCACCCTAATGTACATATGAATATTTATACTTTGGAGTATGTGCATACTGTATAGTAGTACATCACAACAAATATAGTGAAGCGCGAAAAAATTAATATCCATTATTTAGTGTAACAAAACATTTTTCCAAAAACTGCCAATTTTTCCGTAGTTTTTCTCTTCTGTTCACCCTTCATTTCCGCCTCAGTATGTGTAGTTACATTACAAAATTTGGTTTTGTCACTTCTATGAAGGTGCCTTTATAACTGCTTGTTAGTTTGCTTAGTTATCTATTTAATTTTAATTTTGGAAAGTACTATATACATACATACATATGTACATATCGCCGGTGATACTGCAAAACGATATATTTCAATTAGGATTCTTGGCACAGATCATTTAAGTACCAGAGGCAATAATTGACACAGAACGTTTTGCAGTGCACACATACAAACATACATACATGCACAATGTGTGCGATCGCAATTGTGTCTTGATCAGCATGGCGTATGAGTAATTTTATTTGAGCAGCGCTGGCAAAAATACGCCAGAAAAAACTTTAAATAGCCAGTAAGTAATATATCTTTTATAAATATATACGTATGTACATATCAGCAATTGTGGTATAGGCAGCTTTTTCAAGCATTTGACATATTTGATGCCTTTTGCACAACAAGGCGCATCCACCAACAACAACGATTCGAAATGTGCCCGTATCTGAAGGTGAAAACTTTTATACAATTTACAAGGATCCTATGCCAAGCAAATTAGATCAAAACACATCAATACTTTGAAGTATGTGTGCGGAACAGGGAAATGAAGGGGATTAGGTAGTAGATAATTAACCAAAGAAGCAGCAATTTCTTGCAATAGCAAAGCTCGGGAATGAGAGGAAAAATTTAGACACTGGTGACTAAATACCGTACTTACTCAGGTAGAGTTCCTACAGCAAGAGTATAACCAGAGGAAAATTAAGCTTTTATTAAACTTCCTAGGGGACAAAGTTCAAAACGGCGTACAGAGGAGTATTGACATAGCAGGACCGATCAAAATTAGCTGTACGTTTTGGCCTGCGTTTTTCATCATTGATAGAAAGAAGTAAGCACAGCGCTAAGCATTGAATTGGTACAGAATTGAATGAAACACCCATTTGAGTTTCTCTTACCATTCTGTGATAAACAGGATGAAAAAACCCAACGAGAAAAAAACCTTCCTCTTCCCATGAACGAAAGACACAAGATCACGCGGGAAGGAAAGAAAGAGAAAAGTTATTTTCTAGCTGCCGAAATTTCGCCATCTTTGTTGTAAGAAGTAAACAACGAAGATAACGGAGAAAACCGCGAAATTGTTGAACGCATGAATAATCATTTTTATTATGCAAATTCTTCTATAAATCATGCCGTTGTGTTAAATTATTCTTTATCTTATGTGTACACACATTTAGGGGATTCACAAGACGTGTTAACCGTCGTAAAATCTTAAGGTTAACATCTTTTTTAATTAAAATGGTTTTAGGGGATTTCTAACTAAACCGAAATTCTTTTAAACTGATAAAGAATATATAATTAGCCAACCCCCCAACCATTTTAACCGCTATTTTACATAAACAAGTGTTAAGCTTAAGATTTTACGACGGTTAACACGTCTTGTGAATCCCCTAATTGTCACAGGCGAAAATGAAGAAAATTGCAGTAAAAAGCCACCACCAAATTGCAAAGAACGAATGTAAACAAACGGCTAATGTCAAAATGGTTAAACTTTTTTCCTAAATGCGATTCTAATGGGCTATTCTCCTGCCCGCATGATTTTGTATTTTTGGTTCATGTGCTCTTCCGTTAAATATTGTTGTGAATCACTTAAACGAGGTAAGAAGTACTATTTCTACCCTTAAAGATGTGATACACTTTTTTCGCGAATCAATGACACACAAGAATTATGCTCCTGATATATCACGTTTGTGTGGAACAAGATGGGCGAAAGAATATAAGGATATAAGGAAATTTTCAGAATATTTTCCTGAAGTTGTGAAGGCTTTAGAAAAGTTGTCAATTCAGCCAAACTTTTCCGCAAGAAAGTCTGCGTATCAATTGTGTGCTGCTATGACAATGCCAATGTTCATCATTGCTTTGATGACAATTGCTAGTTTCTGGAACCTACAGCAAACATTTTGCAAATGAAGACAATAGACCTCATCGCCATTGAACTACATATTGAAAATATTTTGGAGGTGGTTAAGAATGATCGAAAGGATGCAGAAGGAGGTACTACGGAGTTAATTAAAAAAGCTCGTATGATTGCAGCTGATCTAGGAAGAAGGTAAACAAAAAAACTGAAGTAACCCCCATCTTTCAATAAATATGAGTACTGGCAACGGTCTATCATAATACCGTATCTGGATTCACTAACGGTCTCTTTACAACTATGCTTTTCCAATGAAAATACTCCAGCTTTTTTGCTGTCTAGATTGCGCCCATTGTATGTGTACCAGTGAAAAGGTACAAAAGAACTGGAAGCATTTTCAACAGATCTATGATATAGGTATGGGAAGTGAACTCATTCTTGGGTACAATTTGTGGAAGAAAAAGAACTTGTCCGAAGAAGATTTGAAAGATGTTGAAGTTGGAGATCTATTTAAAGAAGAAAACGAATATCTAACAAAGTTTGCTGAAAATCGTTGTTAGCGTACAAATGATTAAATGAAAAATATATCATAAAAAATTAACAAGTATCCTTCGTTTTGTCCCCCCCCCCCCACATACTTATGTGCATACCGGCATTTCCGGTTTTCTTTTTAGCTCTTTACTGCAAATTCTTACCCAGTTCGTTAGCAGGCAAAACATTCGATGCAATAGTTCGACACATCGGATGAGCCATCGATCTCGGGGCGCTGATTCCGACGGATAAATACATTAGCCAGTTTGTGTTAGCAAATGCCCTGATCAGCGAGCCAGCTGACTCACTGAGGAATGCAAAAATACCCAGATAGACAATGGATAACTTGAGTAACTAAAATGGTTGTAAAGGGGAATAGGGTTAAACCACAAACAATGTATATATTAATGCCCCATTAAGTACTTACTCTTCTTAAAATAATTACACCCAAGATGTTGCCCAACAGCGACACGAATATATTGATTGTATCGAAAGTGTTAAACTCCTTAATCGTCCAATGGAATGTCTCACGTGCGAACAAATAAAAAACTGTCATAGAACCATCTACGCACATTTCGAGGATTTAAATAGTCAATCAACTATTTCTGTGCTTAAAAAATAAATTGCTTACCCAACACAAAAACCGATATCAGATGGGCAATCGCCGCTAGCCAAATGATGGCGCGATCGTTACGTTCGCGTGGCTTGAAACAAGTTTCCCACATTTCCATTACCGCTGCGAAATTGAATAATTTCCTTTGTTGGTGCGACTCACCTACAGCCTGTGGCTGCTGATCTTCCTCTCCAATTTCTGATGTTTGATTTACGAAAACGTTATGAGTGAAATCAAAGCGTCGTCTATGTAGACTCTCCGGAATGAAGAATACTATTATACAAACGGCAACAAAAATGCAAATGCACGATGTTAGAAAAACAAATGTCGCATTGGAGGCTTCGTAAAGAAAGCCTGCTACGAATGATCCGGTCATGAGGCCTGTGAAAAGTGCAGCTTCATATGTTGCCATGCTGAAAGCAGCAGATCGAACGGATTTTAGCCTTAGAAGTGATAAATCCCTATAAACTCACCGATATGGTCGCTCCTGCGCACTAGACACATCAGAAATATAACAAAAGGTAGCCACTGAGTATGTAACACTACCTCCGACCAACGAAAGTGGCAGCACTGCTAATAAATAATACCACGGACTAACGAGGCGAGAAGTTGAGAGTCGCGAAATTATGGCTGCTATGGCATAATATAGAGCATAACCTGCAAAAGGCTTAAGCGCTTAAGTAACAATTTATCTATGAGGTCATCATCGATTACCCACCGCTATATCCTGTGACCAAAAGTGGTTTGCGTCCAAAATGATCCGACCAAGCTCCGATAAAGACACCACAAAACGCTGGTATCAAACCTTCAATGAGTGTGGAAGTCATAAATATTCGAGCAGCATATGGTTGGATGGTGGTCTCTATGTTCTGCAGCAAATGTGGACAAGGAAGACAAGATAAAATGTACAATAACTATTTTATAATTATTTTTCTATCGGAAAGGTGGTACCTCAAGGGTGGTCCCATAATAATTTAGTTAAATTCCGATCATTGAATAAAAAAAGGAACAGTACTCATAAATTTGTATACGAGCATTGAAGTCGGTTATATTTTTTGCTCAAAAACTACTTCTTTTAATAACGATTTTATAAGTC